AGAGGATGATGTACATCTTCTCTCCAAAATATTTTTTGTAAATGTCTATCATCTGGATGGACATCAATACACCGATACATCTTTTCGATGTCTGAAATAACTACATATTTATGAAACCGAAACCTTAACAATATTGCAAAAATATCATTTTGAATAGCTGGTCCTGCGTACTGAATAGAATTAAGAGACTTACCAGTTGTTGTATTAGCAGAACCATTGAAAACAACCCTTAATCGTGTACTAAGGCTTTCATTGCGGAGCACCCCGTGATGAGGTAGAAAATATGAACAAATGTTGTCATCGAAATATGTGTCAATTGACATATGGTTAAGTGCCTGGTATTCTTGCATAAATGAAACATAAAGATTCTTTAATTGAAGATCTTTTTCAAATTGTCTTTCAAGATTTAGAAATCTCCTCACAGCTAAGTCTTTTGAATCTCCTAACTGTTCTCTACTTTCTTTTAATGGAATCTTGACAATAAATTTACCAGTTGAATCTTTAGAATATGTATTCTTGAAATGTTCTTCACATATGTTGTCCTCTTGAGAAATTAACTTTGTATTTGAAACTTCTTCTATTGACCAAAATTTTTCAAGATCCTTCTGTACTTGATCATTCTGTACAAAAAAACATTGGACCTTATCGACATTTTGTGACCACAACCCGGCAACTACATAACCAAAACATGTGTTTTGTAAGACAGGAAGATTTTTACCCAGAGAAATTTTTCCATTTCGAAGTATATCCCAGAATAAATCGGAACCAATAAGCATATCAACTGATTGTGATCTATGAAACGAAGGATCTGCCAAAGAAATGTTTTTAGGAATATTTAATTTAGAACCTTCAATGTTATAAATAGGTAAATTTTCTGTAATTTTAGGTAGGACAAAACATGTTAAATTGAAGATATCTGAATCATAAGTAGATCCAATAGAAACATTGCATTTATAACGTAGGGTGGAAGTGACACGATTGATCCCCACAATTGAAAGATTTGCATCTATTTGCTTTAGGTTAAGTTTTTTGCATAATTTTTCTGTTAGAAATGAAGTCTGGCTACCACTGTCAAGAACAGTTCTTACCTGATGAACTTGACCATTATCATCCCATATATTAATGATGGCAGTAGACAGTAAAACATATGTATTATTAGTTTTTGAGAAATTAGACACAGCTAGCTCTGTCGCGTTATTTGATTCATGACAATTGGTGCCATTATTTGTTACTTGTAATGACTGAGCTTGAGCTGCTCGCATATTTGAATTTGTAATGTGATTAATTGAATAAGTTCCTTGATCCTGATAATGATGCAACAGGGTATTATGTTTACCTTTACAAACTTTACAGGACCCATGACTGCAATCTTTACTAAAATGTCCCTTGCATAGGCAATTTGTGCATAATTTCATACCTTTAATCCTTGTCCATCTTTGAGAAACACTTAATTGTAAAAATTGAGGACAATAGTAAATAAGATGATCACTTTGACATAAATGACATATTTTCTTTGCATTAGAAAGATTATTTGACACTAAAGATACATGTTTTTTAAATGGTTTTCTCTGTTGAGAACTTTGTTGAACTTGAGAGTTGACATTTATTCCCCTCTCTTCAAGCTTTTCTAATTGATTTGCTTTGTTATCTAGAAATTTAAATAAATCATTGACTTCTGGTAAAGTATCTTTATCGTATTTTTGCTCCCATTCTTTTAAAGTAACTTTGTCTAATTTGTCTGAAATAATATGAATCAACATAGCACTAGATAATGGATTTTCATAAGACAAGTTTAAATTCTTTAAAACAAGCAAATGTTGATTAACTGTATCTACTAATTCTCTTACAGCACTAGCACTTTCTTGTGTGACTGATTTTAAATTAAATAACGATTTAATATGACTATTGACAAGCAAATGAGGATTGTCAAACCGTTTGCATAAAGCCTGCCATGCTAAAATATAATTTTGTTTAGAAAATTCTAAATGCTTAACAATTTGTTGCACTTCTGTGCCTAAAGAAGTTCGTAAGTAATGGAATTTTTGAATGTCATTCAATGAAGAGTTTTGATGAACTAATAACTCAAATGTTTCTTTAAATTCTATCCATTTGCAAAACTCTCCATTAAAGGAAGGAATTGTGACTGGAGGAAGCTTGACAAATTCTACTTTATTTTCAAATAACTCGCTGTGAGTTGTATTATTTGTTTCAGAACTAATTATAACATTTAATTTGGATACCAAACATAAAGCACTTGCTGTGTAAGTTGCATGGTCGTTTGTAAAGTTAATTCGTTCAGCATATTCATTTTCTAATTGATCATCATCACATTCTTGTTCAATGTCGGTTTGTAAATCATTAAACTCATCATATAATGAACCTAATTTTGCAGATCTTTGTTGTAAATCAAAAATGATTGTCTGTTCTATATGTTCACTATCATCGTATAGTTTTTGAATTTTGTTGAAAAATGAAATAAAACATGTCAATTGCTGTTTAATCGAACCTCGTTTACGTCTTAGTTTTTTAAGATCAGCCATTATGTAAAATAAATTGAAATAAAATCTACTGTGAGATTTCTAACATTAAATGCATAAATGAAAACATAAATTTCACACTTTCAAAGTAATAAAAAACTTGTTTTTACGTTAAAATGAACGTGCATACATATATTGTAAAGCTTTTAATAAACACTTGCAATCATTAAATAAAAAAGCTTTAATAAAACAATGAAAAGAACCAAGTTTTTAAATTACTTATTAGTCCGTAATGAAAATAATAATTAATTTTTTGAATCCTGCATAAATATTTTAAAATCGGATATGTTAAACTAATCGGCAACGCTGTATAAATATACTTGATATGAACCGAGATTTTAACCGTATTGAAAACCGGTTAAACATTAAATTTCGGCTACGGGTAGGGTTTTAGATAGGTAAAGAAACACGTTTTGTAAATTTATGAGGTTAGGAAATTGAATAATGAAATAGGACTCACTTGTTTTTGCATCAAAATTATTGTAATCTTCTTTCCATCTGGATCGTACGGACCAAACTTTATGTAGAAATGAATTGCATACGTTATACACTTTTTATTTAACTGAACTATAATAAAATTAACATTTGAAACATTAAATAAACTGAAATGAAATGGACTGTATAATTTCGAACTGGCTTGTTCGATGGTCGCTAGCTAAGAGAGAGGGCGACTTGTTAAAGCCGACTCCGCATGGTCGGCCGGAACACCACGTTGCCACGTTGATTCAAGTTTTCACCAATTATTTAGTGTATTATAAAGGATATCTATGTTAACAAAATAACGGTACCAAAAATCAATAAACTTAAAAATTTTATTTATGATTAAATATTATATTAACATAATTTTATCATGTCTATAATTACTATAATTAAATTAGCCAAATTATATAAAAAAACTTAACATTAAAAGTCTTTACTATACAACTACATTCAAATGTTGCGGGAATAAGCGGTCTTGACTACGTCATGCGCGAAAGCGAACCGATTTTGGAACATTATATATCATACCTTGTGTTCATTGGACCGTGAGTTGATACTATAACGGGACCTGAAATCATGGTTCAAATTATACAGAGTGGCCCAAAAGTCTGGAAACGGCCAATTATCTCGTAAATTGCTAGTATAATTGTACAAAATTTGAGGTACACCGATTTTGGGATACAGAGATTCCATATTTGATATTTGCAATGTTGTCAGAATTGCCGTTTCTCTTATATTATTAGTGACTTTGAAATTTTAGAAGATTTTTGAAATTCATCACCCTGAATATTTAGTCATTATTGGAATCTCCTATTCAATACGAGTTCAACCATATGTAACACTTATGATTTTATGTAGTCTGGAAGGTCTTAAATACATAAAACAGAAGTCTTTTCAATTACTTTATTACTTTCGATGAAATACAGCTAAAAAACTATGCATAATAGAAACCGGTCTTTTATACCTAAGTAATTAAACTCGAGCAACTTTTGAGACATCTTAAATTAGACATAATTTACCTGGGAAACTAAATGACTAAATGATACCAGGGAATTATAAAACCCCATTACAGATCAGTGCTCACCCATAGTTCAAAATTTTAAACAGCCATGATACAGCAATTGGGAAAGCAGAAAAAGAAAAGAGAGAACACTGGTTTGATAAGGACTACAAAAGAATTTTAGCGCAGAGGAACAACGCAAAAATGGAAAATATTAATAATTAAAAATAACAAGAGGCAACAGTGCACATTGACGACTTGGTATTTGTAACACGTTCAAGAATAGAAATTCGAAAAATATTCACAAAATTTGAAAAAGAAGCTAAAAAATATGGCCTAACTATAAATGAAGAAAAAACCAAGTATATGCAAAATGAGACGGGAAAATGCAGAAGGAAATAAATAGTGCACTCTAATGGCTAAAGAAAGAGAGTATAAATTTAAGAAGGTAACAGAATTGGAGTACCCTGGCGTAACAATTACAAATAGAGGAGGCGAACAAACAGAGAAATAGATAAACGGTTGTTAAAAGGTAGCAAAGCAGTAGGATCATAGAATACACTGTTGAAGACAAAAAACGTGTCCAGTGCAGTCCGGATTCAAATGTGAAACTTGGGCAATGAATCAAGAAAAAGAAAAATAGTTTGAGATTTGAGAGAGGAAAATATTGAGAAAAGTTATGCTAGTGTAAAGTAGGCTAACAGAGAATCGCACAAACGAACAAACCAGGAGCTAATGGAGGTGTATAAGAGACCCATAATAACACAGAAAATCAGGGCACACAGAGTTAGATTGTTAGGATGTTTTACTAATGCCAAAAGAACATTTTGTATTTGTAAAATTAATGTTGGTCCATAAAAACACTACTATACGTTTGTATTTCTTAATGAAAGTATTTATGTATATATACTTTAACCTTAATCGTTTTAAATAACGATACGCTTTGTTATATATTTTAAAATTACTAAATATTTATTTGATAGATTTAAGGAATTCAGACGCCAACAGTGAGACATTGACACGGAAGATCAAGAGGGCTCAGGAGGCACTATCTCAGTGTGACGGCAGTGCGACAAGTTCAGTTAAAACACTAAGTGCTAGTTTTGGAACTAAATGGCCTTACAAACGAACAATGTCAGCTCCTGCATCAATAATAAGGCAAGAAAATAAAGGTAAATAAAAATAATATCGGCAGTTACTTGTGCCCTTACACATAAAGCCTTAAAGTAAATTTGTCAGTTTTTTATATATCTCTGTATTTTTGTAGAAACAAAAGAAAAGGTATACAGTCGTCAATATTCCGCACCAATTTTAAAGAGGAAAAGTTCCCGTTTCGGCCTTGGTCAGTTTGTAGCCACTAGTAACAGTATTACAGGTAGAAAACTCTAGATGTAGTGCCTTGCTGTAGTCTGCATGGATATTGCAAACTTAATAAAAGTCACAATTTTCAATAGGATACCTTTCAAAAGAAGCTGTCCTTAAACTGTTATTTAAGGAGCAGAAGACTTGGTACTTTTGAGTAAATAAAATTAAAATACCGACTTTTATAAAACAGCTTGCAAACGCATGATAGTTATACACCACCAAAAGTCTTGCCCTCCTAGATATTAAAAAAAAATCAAAGTAATTTTCAAAACCTGGAATATATAAACATATATATATATATATATATATATATATATATATATATATATATATATATATATTATATATATATATATATATATGCTCCTCCTCCAAACCTCTCTATTCCATTTCCAGGGGGCTTTCATCTATGAATTTTTGGGGCCAACGTTCGTCAGGCATTCTCAATAGGTCTCTCCAAACCATTTTAAACCTCTTCTGTCTATTCTGTCAATGACCGTTTCTGTAGCATTCATGTTGTTTCTTATAGATTCGTTGCTCTTTCCAGCCTTGATGTTCTAGCACTTCTTCTCAAATAATCAATTTCAACTGCCAACAATCTTCTCTTCATGTGTGCATTAATTGTCCATACTTCAGAGCCATAACAAAGAACTGATTCAACTATGGTTTGCCCTATTCTTTTTTTGTTCCTTTTGGAAATGTTGCGATCCCATCATAAGGAGTTCAGACATCCTACAATTTTACGTCCCTGATTAATTCGGTGTTTAATTTGGGTTTCTCCCAAGCCCTTCTTATCAATGAGTGCATCTAAATATTTAAATCTTTCCACTTGTTTGATTTCCACGTCCTCGTCTATCAACACTTCTGAATCTGCATCTGAATTGGTAACTAAATGTTCCAAGTGGAATACCTAGTGGAATTCTTTAAATTTTCTCCACTACTGTAGATTCCTGCACCTGGCTCTCTTCTGCAGTTTTAGACCTGTTTGTGTATCAGGTATAAACCTGAACCTGGGTTGTGTTTTCTCTAGGCAGTCCAGGTCATCCCTCTCTTGGGTATATGTGCACTTGGAAAGGTACTGTAGTCCTGTAGTGATCTTCTTAAGATCTATAAATATCAAGCACTCTTTTCTTTTTGCCGTTTTTCTCTATCAACTGTCTTAAAGCAAACAAGGCATCCTTTGTCCTCCTTCCTGGCATAAACCCAAACTGTCCTTATCCTTTATCCCTTTCTAGTTCTTACAGTCCTGAATGTCCCCTTTATCTTTATATAATAATACCATCACACTCTCTCTCCATGCATTGGTCACCTTGCTCCCTCATATATCTTACTAATTATTTGCCACAAAATATCAAGTCTATTAAGATGGTTTTAAGTGTGGAAAAATATATGAGACCAAACGATCTCCTTTGAAATCTGCAATTTACCATAATCTTATTTTTATGATAAGATTATAAAGAATTTATTTACAAATGGTCACCTTACATTAAACTAAGTAAAAATTAACAAAGAAACAAGACTTTTGGAGGTGTGTCCTTTTGAATTTGTTAAAACCTAGAAGAGAAGGTCCTAAAATGGGCCCACATTTTGTTTTTTTTCAAATATTTTTTCTCTCTTTCATGATAGTTATCTGAAATTGCAGATATACTTAGATTCAACATTTATTACTAATACTGAACAGTTATTTATTAAAAATAAGCATTCGGAAAAACATATTATATTTTAAATATAATATAAATTTGGTGCAAATTTTAAAATTGCTCGGTATGTTGGAAATGTGGCTTCCTACGAAAAATCATGCAAAAATGAGAATTTAATTCAATGTTCTCCCTTTCTGTCTGTTTAAAATTGCCCCTCAAAAAATATGCATTCTGTATCTTGGTCGTCCAATTGTGTGTGCCCAACTTTTTTAAGATCAACATGGTTTCGGACGTTTTTGATTTCTTCTGAATTTTTCTTTTTTTCGGCAATGTTGAACCTTCGTTTGCTTTATTTCCAAATCCTTTTTTTACATTATTACGTCATTTTCTTGGAGTATTTTTTGGTTCTATTAGCTTCTCTTGCTTCTCTCATCTTCTTCTTCTTCAAGTGCCCTGTCCGTTGCGAACGTTGGCTATTAACATGGCAATTCTGATCTTGTTTGCGGCACTTCTGAATAGTTCGACCGATGTGAGCCCGAACCACTTCCGCAGATTTTGGAGCCACGAGTGTCTTCTCCTGCCTGACCGTCGCTTACTGTCTATTTTTCCCTGGACAATCAATTGCAGCAAACGTTACTTATCATGTCTCAATATGTGGCCTAGATATTCAAACTTTCTTTGTTTAATTGCATTCACGATTTCTTTCTCCTTTCCGATTCTTTGGAGTACCTCTATGTTGGTGACATGTTTGGTCCAGGATATACGAAGAATGCGTCGGTACACCCACATGCTTCTCTCATGTTAATAATAATTCCAAATAGATGCCATTGCAGGTTATTTATTGAATACTTTTTTGCTACAAAATACATATACATGGAGGTGTTATATTATATTGCTTTTAGGTTAGTTATCGTAGATTTAGAATTTGTTGTCTTTCTTCACTTCCATTAACAAACCCGGCAGCTATTAGTTGCATATTATCTGCAAATGATTTTACTTCCGTGAATTATCAATCAGATGAATCTGTAGGCTGAGATCGCCCAGCAAAAGGGCCATTTTTGGTTACTCATATGCATATGCATATTATTCAAGACATTTTCTCCTGTGTTTTCCATTCTTCGGATGGAAATTGGTATGCGCAGTGTATTTGTGCAAATATTATTTAAGTACCTGTTATGATATTGTCTACACTTTCTTTGGATTCGGAATGAAAGCTATCTGATTCAATTATCTTCCTCTTTTGTCAGTTCTCTGTTGTTTAGTTATATTCTTTGTACTATTAAAACCAACGTATGTTATATATTCAATGTCGTTTGTTTTTCGTTCGTTTTGATTGCGTTGTTGCTTTTATATTGACATCTTTTGTTTGTGCCCGTCATGCTTCTGTTGTCAAGGTATTTATATTTGCAAATATAGGCAGCAAGTTTCAATTTACATTATTTTTCAACGATGCCGCATAAGTTTTTTTGTGGTTGTTCTCTTTACTGCACTAGTATTTTTGTATTCTATCGTCTGCTGTCCCATGTATACAAAAATAAAGATACTTGTATTAATAACCAAGGAGGAAGTAAACAAGTCAGGTCAGTCAGTCAAGGTCAATACAAATGATCTACAAATTAATGCATGTTATATTACTAACAACTCATTAATTCATTTTATGACTGTAGAGTAGACATACATTTTGACTCTTAGCTGAATTACAAAATTACAATAGTTTTTCTCTGTACTTAATTGGTCTCATTTTTAGGTATTAAAAAATAAAAATAACTATAGTACATGTAAAACCACCTAAAAAGTAGAGTCTTTAACTTGATTGTGTCTCCAGCATATTATTTTAAAACTAACATCAGATATTCTTAACAATTCATTAACATTTTGTAGATGGACACATGCAATCGTTAAATATGGTAGATGATCAAAATATAACAACATTTTTACAAAGGGTGATCGATTTGGAAGAAGCAGATAAGGAAACTATGCATTTATTAGTTTTTCTTCTAATGCAATTTTTATCCAGATCCGATCAAGCATATCCAGCGGAGGAGAAAAATCTAGCTAAAACCCAAGGAATCGTACTTCGACACTTATATCTGTTATTAGGGTACAGTCAAAATGACAGAGGCTTGTATCTTCCACCCCAACGGTTAAGATCCTCACCTGCCTTCAGTGTTTTTCTTTCAAATTTACCTCAATTGATGGACCAAAATCATCTTATGGGACGGCTTCTTCTTCCCACCTGTTTAATATTGATGCAATACGCTCCATCTCCGTACTATATACCAAGCGCTATGGAGTTTCAACAACCGACTTACAGTTTGTGGGCATTGGAGCCGCATTTTCGAAAAAACTGGTTGATGTCTATTGTCGTGCTATTATACAAGGTAAGATGTTTGGTATATTAATACCCACATGGTAATCAAAAACTAAGTTACAGAATTATTGACGAATTCAAAAAATTATTTTTGACGCTTTTGATTTACCTATTAAAAATTAAAATTATAGAAAAATAACTCAAATAATAGTGTTCATTTTTCAACGACATATATAATGTATATTTCCATATCGCACATTACTACAAGCTTAAGGAGATTGGCTCTTGCTAGTACTGCTGAGTAATCTGCCACTCTTATTTAGAAGCTTGGAAGAGTTCTGGGAGGATTTCTTCGAGCAGGAAGGGCTGTCGAAAACATATCACAATCATGCTCTATTAAGGTGTTCAGCGGACAAAGCAGCTCATTTTAAACTATTGGTACTCTGACATTCAAGATCATTCACAGCTCTCATAAGGTAAGGCTGTGTATTGTCGTCCCTGAATACAAAATTACTGGCAACGGCTCTTCTTGGTTGTCTAGCGAAAGGATGGTATACCTGTTGCATCCATCATCAATAATTATGCCTTAAACATTAAATCAGTATATTAGTAAGTCCTACCAACTCACAAACGTGTTGGTTATGTTTAGAGTAAAAATTAAAGAAAAGGGGACAATTAGAATCCCTATCGTACTCCGGGTTATATTGATATGAGAACCGTCAACGGTTATCCATTTTTATATTCGTAACTTGATTATGAACCCTCGTATTTAGGTTTTCGACGCTAGTAATAAATATTGACTAGTACTTTTCCTACTATTAGTACGATATTATTCGAGCGATATCTATAAGGATATGTAGTGGTTTCTTGGAGCCTTCTACATTTCAACGCTGTCGACTAATTTAGTTCTTCGGCCTTCAGAATCAACTTCTCAGCTCCAGGACAATGAAGTGAACTGCTAAGTATCAATTCTTCCAGCAGTATTTGTTAAACAATAAGTAAGAGATTACTTATAGCCCAATTTACACAATAAGTTAGGGGATTAGGCTATGCTTTTCAGGACAGTGATCTCTCCAGTACTGCCGCTGCAATTAACGAACGCCTATTGGCCCAATGACAAATATTTACTATTTTAGCCAAAGCCACAATGCAAGCTTAGTAGGTACCAATACCACGCAGGGATCACTTGTTTAATCATATTTAAGGAACTAAACGGTAAAATTCCACTGATTGGTACTACAAAATCATCAAAAAACCAAGTTAATACTAAAAACGGCAATACTTGTATGTAAACAATGATCATTTCTGTAAATATAGAAATTAATATTTTGTTTTAGTACCAATATAATCATCAGCCTCATTGTATGCAGTTGACATCTCTAATTAGAGTAGTATTAAACACTCTAGACTCTCAACACCATCACTGTAGAAGAATTCCAGCTACTATAATAATGGGACAACCACCTTCTCGATCTAGAGGTAACGTATCCCCGTTTATTATTAGAGGGATAGGCGGGGCAGTTTGGACACTTTTTAGATATTATTTTTTCCAGAATGAGGGAATTCCTGCAATATACATTTGCCTTTGAGAGGCAGTATGTGTTTTAAAAAAATGTAACTTGGTATCTATTTCTCATTTTTTCGTTAACTTTTTCGACATAGTTTCTGAAACAGTACTTTCCACTAACCTTTATTATGACAAAGCTGTCTTTTATAATATTTTATTTATCAAGTTATTAGTCGTCACTTTTGGAAACAAAGTTGCTTTTAGGTGAAATATCTTTTTATTCAACCTTTTTCACTTTTTTATTACTCACTTTCGACATCTGTTTTTGTTGTCTTCTTGATTTTAGATGAACTATTTCGCTCCTTGTCTTTCTTTACAATTATTGAATTCCCTCGTTTTCTCCCTTTGCACCCGTTTTCTCTATCGGGGGCTTTTTAGAAGGGAGAAATAACCTCACTGCAACGCTCTGGTGTAAACGACGACATAGTCAACTGGAATAACGTTAATGTTCTATCCAAATGTGATTTCTATGGTGCTTCCAGTGGTTGATCTTCAGGTGGAGTATAATAACGAAAAGAACTGTTTCAGTAAATAACAATTTAAAAATTAAGGAAAAAAACGTAAGTAAATGTTGTAACAAAATGACGCTCAATTATTGAAAACTTAAATTTTGTGTCCGCACAAACTGATTTTAATAATGAATGTTTCCACCACGTGCTCGAATTATTGCCTGAATTCTCCTTGACATGTCTAAAATCAACTGAGAAATGTCCTGTTAAGGAATAAGATCCCAATTTTCTAAAAATGCTTCTCGTAACTGATTTAAGATTAAAGCATAAGGCACAACAAAATCTAGAATTTCATGCCCCCCGAGCCTCTCGGAACGATGTACAATTCTGTGTAACTTGATGGCGCCTGAGAAGCTGTAGGCTTATTGCAGGTCTGCGACTGCTTAAATTTACTTCTACAAGCCTTCCTCTAATTGTTCGTTCACTTACGTAATCTGGACGTACTGAAGTTGATTTCGGATTTGTTGAACCGTGGCACGACGATCTCGTAGACGTTGTAAGAGGTTGAAGCGATCATCACGGGCACTAGTTCTTTGTTGGAATGGAAACCCGTTCCAGGTCATCTAGTGTAAGCTCCGGTTGTCAAAAAACGTGTAAAAATATGGTGCATAGTACCATTGGAATATTTGATACTTTTGAGCAACATATCGCTCACTTCTTCCGTCTTGAAACAACGCAACAATAGCAGCCACTGTTACGGGATTTACAACCATAATTCTTGAGATTAAATCAACACAATACAACTTTAAATTGTATTTAATACTTGATTCGACTTAGAGTTTACTTACATCAACAAGAACAACAACAATAACAATAGAATACGAACAGCATTTTTTTTCGATAAGCACTTAAGTTTTATTGAAAATTACTGAAAACAGTTTGTTTCGTTTGTGTTTGCGTTATTATAATAATCAAATTTTAAAGAGAATTAAAATTTTAAGTTTTTATTTGAAAAATGCAAGTGCTACGTTTTTCGAGTCGGTAATTTTATAAATGCCCACTAAAATACACTCACCCATGACTTATTTTTCTTTGCCAGGCCATTTATTAAATATATCTTTGTTGACTGTTTATGATATGGTGCCGTATATACTTCTCTATTTTAATTAGTTCTTCTGTATTAAATTAGTTGACGATTTGCCAGGTCTAATAGTTTGCTTAGTAATTTTGTGTATTTTTTAATTTTGTTTTAGATGTCAGTCAGCCGTCCTTGGGAGCAGAAATAGAACATCCAGAACGTGCAACTCCACCCCCATCACCAATCTACTCATCAGATGGACAATCAGTACAAGTAATCGGTAGTTCTAAATGTGGAAAAATGCAAGTAGCATACACTAAACCCTCCTCTACAACAAGTATGGAAACTCATTGGGAGGAAGCTATTCATTGTGTACATCCAGAAAAAAAACCGCAGAGAAGACATGCTGAGGTTAGTGTCGATACTGACACAGAATCCGAGTTAATGGTAATACCTGATAGCGATATGTCAGACAGTACGCTTCAAGGAAGTGTACAAGATTCTTTTGAAGATGGTGCAAGTGATAGCTTAGGCGAAAAACATCTTCCAAGGTCTCCCAAAGAAAGTTACACAAACCAGCTTGTTAAAATTCCTAATAAAGGGAGACCGACATGGACCATAGGTAGTGAAGAAGAATTTTCCAAAACATGTGACAATAAAATCTATCAAGAAGTGCTGAGAAGTCATTCGGAGTTAATAAAAAATTGTTCCAGATTAAATTCTACATCGTCAGTAAACGGTATACAGGTAGCTAAAACTGTTACTACAGATTTTCACAAACATGTCAGTTCGACATTTGTAGATACCCACTCTATGGGAAAACCAAAGCACAAAAAAATTATTGAACCTAGTATTACTCCTGTTTGTACACCTGTTTCAGACTGTGATGAATCTTATAAAAATAATCATGCTAGTTTACCAACCCCATCTCTCGAAAGACTATTACCAATTGGATCTACAAGAGTACCAGATTCTCCATTAAATGATGACGTGTTTTCACCAACTATAGATTCTCAATTAGAAATTCCTTGTCAAGAACGATTGCTTCCAATAGGTCAGCACCCAACTCCTCAGTTAATGGAGAAGCTCAAACAAGCCTTAGGTGTAACTAGCCAACAAATTAAATCGGAGTCAATTAAAAAAGAAAAACTGCAAGGACACTCTCAAGAACAACATCACCCGCAACCTACTTCTTCTCATTCACATAGTCCCAGAAAATTAACCAAACAGGTTGCTCTAGAGAGTCCTAACAATTCTGAATTTGAGGATAATGGACACTTCAAATCTCTTAAGATGGAAAATCAGAGTAAGTTTTATACTTCATTTCGTATTAGATTGTTAGTTTTTTACTTCCTCTTTAGTAGAAGGATATTTAAAAATATAACAATAACTGGCACTAGCTAACTAGCCAAATGGTTTGATTTCAATCTGGTACTGCAAAAAATGTCCAAATGGCAGTTTCTTATCTAATTACCAGCTTAAGACTACGTTTAAAATTCGAGTCAATACAACAATAAAATTTAACTTCTAATTGAAGGTGAAGTCCTTTGTGATTGGGCTTTTACACTATCAATATTCGTTCATAAATGTCTTTCGCTTGTAAACCTTCCAAAAATAAGAATTCACTCACGATACGATAGTTTATTTTTTCCATTGTAAAAAATACTGTGACACCTCGATATTAAATGGCTTATAAACAAAGAATAAATTGACAAATTGCAATGAAACTTCATGATCATACAGCCTTGTGCGTCCAAAGTTGGACATAGGTCTTCCCTAATTTCTTCCTCTTCTGAATTTCTTTCAGTTCTGGAAATGAAACTTCACTAACGTTCATATGAAGAGTGTAGTAACATAACAAAAATTACGTAATCTAGTAACAACGCCCTCTCTTATCCAAACCAAAACTTATTGAACGGTCTATCATATTAAAATTTTACATCTGGTTTCGTTTTGTGTATATATATATATATATATATATATATATATATATATATATATATATATATATATCGGTTTTAAAACGTTCTCCTACGTCTTCCGATGCCTAGTCGCCATTCACTTCGGTCCATCCAAAGGTCTTCATCTAATTCTCTTTCTCTCATACTTCGATTTATGCCTTCTCTCCAACTAAGGCGGGGTCTTCCTCTTTTTCGTCTACCATGAGGGGTCCACGTTAGGATTTGTTTCGGGAGTCGTTCTTCGGACATTCTTTGTACGTGTCCATACCATCTAAGCTGTTTGGTACTAATGTCATCTACTATTGTGTGTTTCACATTCATTATTTCCCTAATTCTGTTGTTGGTTACCCTTTCTAATCTTGATTTTCCTGCTGAGCGCCTCCAGAAATCCATTTCTGTTGCTTCAAGTTTTCTCTTGTATCTTTCTTTTATTTGCCATACTTCACTGCTGTAAGTGATTATACTCTTAACAATTGTATTGTATATTCTATGTTTGTTGTTGTTTGATATTGCCTGGTCCCACAGTATGCTATTGAGAAGGGTAATTGCTTTTCTTCCCTGGTTGTTTCTTTCTTCTATCGTCCGGTCTACGTTTCCTTCTTGTGTGATGGTCATACCCAGGTATTTATATGCGTCGCAATGTTTAATAATTTCGCCATTCCCCAGTATAAGGTCCTGCTGTGTCCCACCGATACACATATATTCGGTCTTTTTTATGTTTATTTCCAAACCACCTTTTTTGTACTCCTCTATTAATTTCCTTGTCATATATTCTATATCATCGTACTCTTGCGCTAGTACAAGTTGGTCGTCTGCAAATGACAAAGTGTATATTATATTGTTGTTGATCGGTAATCCCATGTTTTTGCATTTGCGTTTCCAAAGTTTTAGAGTTTGCTCGAGGTAGATCTTAAATAATGTCGGTGAAAGGCAGCACCCTTGTTTTAGGCCTTTGCTAATTTGGAATCCTCTCGATAGTCCGCTTCCAACTTTCACCCTTGCTGCAGTTTTGGTATACAATTGTTTCGTCGCTGTTATTAAATTTGCGCTTATATTGGTTTTCTCTAATGCTTCCCATAGTTTGTTTTGTGGGATGCTATCATACGCTTTTCTCAAGTCCACATATAACAGATGCACCTCCTGGTTGACGGCCAGTTTCTTCTCAATAATCTGTGTAATACAAAACAGATGGTCTACCGTTGATCTCCCTGCCGGAATCCTGCCTGTTCTTCAGCTTCTATATCTTTATATTCGTTTTCGATTTTATTTTTAATCAGTTTTCCGTATATTCGGCTGATCGAGTTCGTTACAGCGATGCCTCTGTAGTTGTCACATTGATCCCGTCTGCCTTTTTTATGTATGGTGGATATCCATGATGTCTTCCATTCTTCTGGGATTTCCGCTCCGTTGATGTATCTTTGAAAGAGTTTAGCCAGGTTTTCATATAATTTTGTTGTGCCATATTTTATTAGTTCAGCTGGTATGTTCCCTGGTCCTGGTGCTTTGTTATTTTTTAAAGACTTACATACTTCTTCTACTTCTTTTGTTGTTATTCGTAATGGTGAGGCTAAGATATTTACGTTGCTGGTATCACTGTTATTTAAAAATTCCGCTCTGTCCTCATTTAGGAGTTTTTTAAAATATTCGTCCCATTGATCCGGTGTGATTGATGATATTATATCTCTTTTCTTTTCCTGTCGTAGCGATTTTAATACTTTCCAACTTTCTGTACTTCTCCGTCCTCCTAAATGTGTGTTAATCATGTTACACTTTTGCTCCCAAGCCTCATTCTTCTTTTGGCATATCATTTTTCGCACTTTAGCTTGGGTCCTCTTGTATTCTACCTTATCAGCGTCGGTCCTTGTGTTCAGGAATTTTTTATACTTCTCTCTTTTATTTTTAATCTCTTGTTCTATTTCTTCGTCCCACCAATACGAAGTTTTTCTGTGGTTTTTTACTTGGAGTCCGAGAGCCTCTGTTGCTGCTTCCTGAAGACATGTTTTTATATAATGATAATGCTCTTCATTGCTGGTAAATTGCATGGTTTCTAACTTTTTATCTAGTCTACTCCTGTATAAATCCCTCACGCTTTCTTGTTCTAAGCTGTTTAGGTTGTATTTCTTTTCTGTTAGTTTTTCTATTTCCTCTGCAGCTTCTTTTAAATCTCTTGCTCTATCTATTCCTATTGTGAGCTTTGTTTTTAATAGATGGTGGTCACTGCCGCAAGTGGCTCCTCTATATACCCGCACATCCTGTACAATCAATTTAGTCTTTTGTCTTATGATTGTATAGTCTATGATTGATTTCAGCCCTCGGGTATTTTGTGTCCATGTATATTTATGGATATCTCGGTGTTGAAAGAATCCATTTGTGATTTTCATATCATTTTGTTCGCATAAGGCTATTAGTCTAGTACCGTTGTCATTTATAGCCTCTTCACCATATTGGCCTATGATTCGTTTTGTGTAATTTGCATTATTTTTCAGGAGACTTAATGGTTAACCACAGACAACGTATACGTAAAGCAGGTCCATTCGCAATGAATTCCTACTCTTTGCATGATCCTAGAAAACCTGGTGCCTGGATGAGCCCACAACTCTCCCTCAAACTTGAAGGAATTGATTTAAAACAGAGTTCGTTTCGAACTGGGGAAGAATGTGTAGCAGAGAGATGTACAGAATGTGGTTTGGTGAAAGAAGAATATAGCGACGAAGAAATCGGACTCTGTATCGTAACTTTAGGAACTTTTATACACCGAGAACCTGCACTTGCTGCTCCTATGCTACCCGATATACTTAGCATTGTAGCAAAGTTAGTATATGTTTTAAATCTCAACTATTCACCGAAAACATTTAGTCTAGACGGGATCTGTTTTGGATTGGACATTTTCCATAGGAAGCTATTTTTTTGCTGGAATCCCTTCAGGATGTGCCCAATATCGATAATCACGATATGCGCCAGTCGCAAACCCTGTGCTAAATTTTTTATTTAACAAAATCTGAAAACAATTGAAAATTTCTCATTTTTTTGCTCCTATTTTCGTTTATAATTCGGAAAATATTGATCCTAGAGAAAAAATTATAAGAAGTTAAAAGTTACGTAATTCAATTTTACACAATATTTCGTTAGCTAGAAATTGAAAATTTAATGTTTATTGTTGAAAAAATAGCAATAATTGGAAAAAAAGTACAAAAAAATGAAGTTAATCCTTTAAATGTTTTTGACTTTCTAAACTTGACTTACAAGCTCCATATTCCGCCTAGAAAAACTTTTTAATATGTTTAAAACGTGTGCTAAATTTTGTTAAGATCGGTCGGATAGGTTTTGCATAATAATTGTGCAATCCAGCCTACTGGAAAAAAATCGCAAATTTTCAAATTTATAGTAGGCCCTAAATAAGGCCCTCAGATAGTTGCAATTTTTTTTACATATAAAGGAAGGCTCAAACTTCCAAACGCTTTTTGTAAAATTCAAATCGGTTCACTAGGAGAGCCTAGAAATTTTTTTAAAGTTTTAAACATTTTTTAGGCTTATAAACAAATTGAATAACTTTACGAGCTTTAAACATATCATTTTCGAATCAAAATATATTCTCAAATCAAATAATGTCATTATTATGATAAAACTGCAGAAATTAATTATTTTAAAAAGTTTGATTTTTACAAAAAAAAAATTCTTTCGCCTTTGTTTTAACAATTCAAATTATTTATTAACAATTTATAAATACATATTTGTTTACTAAAAGTAACAATATATAATAACAGTAATAATTTGAATTGTTAAAACAAAGGCGAACGAATTTTTTTTTTGTAAAAATCAAACTTTTTAAAATAATTAATTTCTGCAGCTTTATCATAATAATGACATTATTTGATTTGAGAATATATTTTGATTCGAAAATGATAGGTTTTAAAGCTCGTAAAGTTATTCAATTTGTTTATAAGTCTAAAAAATGTTTAAAACTTTAAAAAATTTTCTAGGCTCTCCTAGTGAACCGATTTGAATTTTACAAAAAGCGTTTGGAAGTTTGAGAGTTCCTTTATATGTAAAAAAAATGCAACTATCTGAGGGCCTTATTTAGGGTCTACTATAAATTTGAAAATTTGCGATTTTTTTTTCCAATAGGCTGGATTGCAAAATTATTATGCAAAACCTATCCGACCGATCTTAAAAAAATTTAGCACATGTTTTAAACATATTAAAAAGTTTTTCTAGGCGGAATATGGAGCTTGTAAGTCAAGTTTAAAAAGTCGAAAACATTTAAAGGATTAACTTAATTTTTTTGTACTTTTTCTTTCAATTATTGCTATTTTTTCAACAATAAACATTAAATTTTCAATTTCTAGCTAACGACATATTATGTAAAATTGAATAAC